TTGGAAAGTGGGGAACCCTAAAGAGACCCAGGATTCTTCTTCAGCCCGTGCCACCAATTGGTGGTGCAACATCACAACACAAACTACTCCAGCACGCTGCAGCTGAACTTGCCCATGCATGGGGTCAGCTCAGCAGGCCACGTCGCTTCACTGAGCCCATTCAGAGACTGGTCTTAACCATCCAGTGATGCAGCCTTAACCATGCAGCATGAAAAACAAAGGACCCTCTGTAACTAAACGTCGTCTTTCAGTTCCCCTGTTAGGTCCCTATCTGGCTGCAAGGTGTTGACTGCCCCCCAGCTCCCAGGGATCTGAGGTCACTCAATGCCTCTCAGGAGGCACTAAGGAACAGGCCTCGTAAGAAACCAAATTTCCTCAGGTTGCAGTTCCCACTGAAGCTGAGACTGGATCGCAGTGCAGAAGCCTCCAACTTGGGGGCAAAGAAGACTGAGGAGTGTTGGGATAAAAGGCCTTGTCCGCTGGAGCCAGTGTGCGACTTCACTTCATCTACCTGGCTTAGGTCAGATGCCTTCACTGAACCCAGTGATGGTTGCATTTGCTGATAAGGGAGCCCAGGCATTGTCCCTCCTGCCTCTGGCCCCAGAGACACAAGTGCAGATAAGAAAGCAGCTGTGTTCTTTGATGGGAATTTTATTGCTGCAGGCAAGATAAGCGTCGTTTTATTGCTGCAGGCGAGATAAGCAAAGAAGGGCATGAATTCCTGCTGCTGAAGTGAAACTACTCCTCATTGACAGAAGACTTCTCAGACTCAGGCTTATCGGACATTGCCATTAACCCTCCATGAGATCACCACTGTTGTCCTTCACACACAGGTGCACAGAGCAGAGGCCATGAGCACAAGCTTCTCAGCAGAGGATGCATTTGGGGATAGACACCAAGAGCTAATCTAGTGCAATAGCCAACACACCAGGGACCTCCAAAGCTAAAAGTATGAGCTGCTACATCTTGGGCTGAAACTCCACGGCTGCCTATCTGGGGGCTGTAACAGACTCATACCCTCTGCGAATCAGCACAGAGGGAAACCTGTAACCCACACTCACCTCTGGGTTACACAAGTATCGAGGAAGAGAGAGAGAATGGACATGGCCTAGATGAAGGGGTTGCAAGCAGTTTTAAGATACTTCCCATCCATATTTTGCCCCACAGAAGGTCCATATCTCCCTTGGGCCCCATAGCTAATGGCAGGGGGAAATGTATGGAGCTTAAACGGTCAGAACCTCTGCTGGTGTGAATCACCATCACTCCTTTGACTGCAAGGAAGTTCCAGTGGGGCACAGCATGAGAGAGCCTGAGAACCCCGGGCCATGCGTTGTGATTCTGTCCCACCTAACATGCAGGAACAGCCACCGCAGATGCTCAGCAGCTGCATCAATTGTATCTCCTGCAGGCACCTTCAGAAATCTCCCTCCAGACAGAGCTATGGCCATAAAGCATAAATAACCAAACACCGATCAACAGGCTGGAGCTAAGGCTAATACTGCAACATTGGGGCTGCTAGTCCTAGACACACTTTACTTTAAGAAAACACAGTATAAACTGCTCTTGTACAATAATTGGAACCTTTCTGTGGTTCAGTGCAGAGCTCCTTCATCTGTTGTAACATAATATGCCCCAAACTCTTTTAATAGCTGTTACTCTATAGCCAAAGGGCCAAAGTCTGCTTGCATTTACACCCTTGGAACCCCAATTAACTTAATGAAGAAGACAAGGAAGACTTGGGGCATGGATACAATTAATTTAGGCCCCAATTCAGCAGTGCATTTAAGCATGTGCTTAAGTCTAATTGAAATCAGTGGGACTTAAACACAAGCTTAAATGTGTTGCTCAATTGGGCCTTAATGCAGCAGAACAGGGTTGGGAATACTCCTTTTCTTCTTCATTCTGTTTTGATTGAACAAGTCGAACATAATTTACATTTGAATTGCCAGCATCTAAACCCTGCTAAGCCCTGGGATACACAGTGCAGTCTGAACTGTTTTATCTTTGCAAATTTCAATTATCCCCAATAAATCCTTATTATATTCATGAGGCTGCAGTCGCTCCCTCTAGTGGTCAGATGACAATTCCCGTGTTCTGGTTTTTTAAAGCTGTGTGGTGGAGAAAGTTTCTGGCGTATGACTGAAAACTCCAGGTTCAAATTAGGATGGGGGTTCATTTTCATGGAAACTGTCCTTTGTTAATATTATTTTGTCCTCCCTGTGCTGTAGATAAATAAATACTTGCTGCTCAGTTACTTTTCTAAACAAAACAGATGTATCTGATCAAAAATATCTAATATGGGTAGAAAGCCAAGCCTGAAAAAGGAAAGGCCAGCATATTTCAGAGTTCCTTTTGTAGTAGGAATAGAGCCTGAGACATAAGCCTTTGTAGCAGAGGCCTGGTATGAGGCAGGACTTGCTCACAAAATCTGTCAAGAACAGGGCTGATATTGCAAAAATACACATTCCTAAGAAGTGCTAGTTCACAGAATACTCACACAAACACATCCTGATATCAAGTGATACTAGAACATCCCGATAGCCAGGGTGGTACAAAAATATTACCCCAGGATAACAGGAACACACTTAATCCTCCTAAAAGATATGGTCAGGATAACAGTATGTAATAGAGATGTTTTGATTGAACCAATATCTACAAGGTGATAACTAGCCTGGGGGCAGTGACTAACTATGTCAGAGGCAGTACATAACTTGTTTGTATCAGCGTATAAAGATGTATCTCAGAGGGAGGAGGTTTGCCCAGCCGAGGGAGGAATGGAAAGTCCCACCATTCACTGAGCTGGTCCATTGTCACAGGCATATATGTCTTTGTATCCTTGTAGAGTCTACCAGGTGCTATTACTGTGCTTTGTCGACAATAAACCTGGCCTGGTGCCTTCATACCTTAACGGATCTTGTGGTCATTGGGCGATTCGCTCAAGGTCTTCTGTGCTGGCTGGCTGCGCAGAGCTGGGGCAGCACACATGGATAGGGTGACCAGATGTCCTGTTTTTAAAGGGACAGTCCCATTTTTTGGGACTTTTTCTTATATAGGCACCTATTACCCCCCACCCCCTGCACCGTTTTTTCACAGTTGCTATCTGGTCACCCGACACATGGAGAACACACACACCCAGCCGAACATCTAACCACACCTTTCACTGCAATAGCTAAGCTAGAAGGCAGTTTTTCTGGGTAAGTGGCCACTTCAGCTAATATCAGCTAGTCCGATAAAAATACAACCTTGAGCAAAATGCTGGTCCTCCATAATTGATCTGGAACTATGAAGCCAGAGAAAGGGTGGTGGTATGGCCTAGAGCACAGGGCACCGGACTAGGAGTCAGGAGACCTGCATTTCATTCCTGGCTCTGCCACTGACCTGCTGTGTGACCTTGAGCAAGTCACTTCCCCTTGCTGTGCCTGTGTTTGTCATTTAGAGTACCAGCGCTTCAGGACAGGGACGACGGGTCAGATTTTTAGAGATGTGTAGGGACCTAAAGAAACAGATGGCTGCCTTGTAGGACTTTCAAAAGTGCATAGGTGACTAACTCCCACAGGCAGCTATGCACGTCAATGCTTTCTAAAATCCTATTCAGTGCCTATGTGCATCTGTTGGCACCAAGATGGCTTTAAAAATCTGGCCTTGTCTCTTATTATGTGTGTACAGCACCTGGCACAAAGGTGCCCCAGTCCAGGGTTTCTGAGTGTAACTGGAATACAAACAATCATAGTAATCTCTTGCACTAAAGTGCACCAGCAGAGCTGACTCTACCAGCATGCAGAGTGAGAGACGACCTGTGCCTGCAGATAGTGGGGTGGGGGAGGCAGACAACTTCAGTAGTAAAAACAACAAAGAGTCCTTGTGGCACCTTAGAGACTAACAAATTTATTTGGGCATAAGCTTTTGTGGGCTAAAACCCACTTCATCAGATGCATGGAGTGGAAAATACAGTAGCAGGCATATATACATAGTACATGAAAAGATGGGAGTTGCCTTACCAAGTGGGGGATCAGTCTAACGAGACAATTCAGTTAACAGTAGAATACCAAGGGAGGAAAAATCACTTTTGTAGTGATAATGATGGTGGCCCATTTCAAACAGTTGATAGGAAGGTGTGAGTAACAGTAGGGGGAAATGAGTATGGGAAAATTAGTTTTTGTAGTGACCCATCCACTCACAGTTTTTATTCAGGCCTAATGTGATGGTGTCCAGTTTGCAAATTAATTCCAATTCTGCGGATTCACGTTGGAGTCTGGTTTTGAAGTTTTTTTGTTGAAGAATTGCCACTTTTAAGTCTGTTATTGAGTGCCCAGGCAGGTTGAAGTATTCTCCTACTGGTTTTTGAATGTTATAATTCCTGATGTCAGATTTGTGTCCATTTATTCTTTTGCGTAGAGACTGTCTGGTTTGGCCAATGTACACGGCAGAGGGGCATTGCTGGCACATGATGGCATATATCACATTGGTAGATGTGCAGGTGAATGAGCCCCTGATGATGTGGCTGATGTGGTTAGATCCTATGATGGTGTCCCCTGAATAAACATGCGGACAGAGTGGCAAATCGGGAGCGGGGGGGCACATGACCCTGCATGAGCCCCCCTGGGGACTGAAGGCCCAATCAGGCACTCACAGGGACATCTATAAATGCAACTCCCGAGGCATTAGAGGGCCGTCCCACACTTCATTGCTAGAAGGCTGCATTGTAGCCTGAATGTTTTTCGTTGCATTTTATATATTTATGAAAAACACTTTTGTTATAACCCATGCATGCAAAGAGCCTGATTCCATTCTCATGCCACCATTGACTGGAGTTACTCTTGACTTGTACTCAGGGCCGGCTCCAGGCACCAGCTTGGCAAGCAGGTGCTTGGGGCGGTCACTCCGGAGAGGGGCAGCAGGTCCAGCTATTCGGCGGCAATTCGGCAGACGGTCCCTCACTTCCGCTCGGAGCAAAGGACCTTCCGCCAAATTGCCGCCACAGATCGCAATCGTGATCGCAGTGGCTGCTTGGGGCGGCCAAAACCCTGGAGCTGGCCCTGCTTGTACCGGTGTGAACAAGATCTAAATCAGGCCCTGCAGCTCAAGAATGAAGTCTTGGAGAAAAATGTGCCCGCCTCGTGAAGATGATCCACCAGCTTTATTGCCAGAACAAAGAACTGAACACATATTGCATTTAACATGTCAAACAAATGTAACTGCTTTCCTAATACCAGTCATCACCGTGACCAATTGCTGCGTGTTACATGATTGCATATGGGAAGAGAGATCACCCACGCAACTCCAAAGGGCAGAGGAGGTGGTCGATGCAAAATTGGTGGGGCTAAGGGAAAAGTGTTGTCCAGGACTGTGATTAGGAGGGGAGGTGTTCAGGAGACTGTGTGCTGTCATCCCTACTTTATGGTTCAGGGACTCAGAATACATATGCTAAGCACATCATGAGACTGAACAGCTTCCACATGAGATGCCTGCATAAGATTCTGAAAATGAAGTGGGAAGACAAAATACCAAATAAAGGTGCTGGAGCACACAGGACTGACATACTTAGAAACCATATTAAGAAGAGGAGGTTGCAATGGCTTGGTCATGTCAGGAGAATGGGAGGACAGGAGACCGTATCCCCAAGAATATTTTGTACAGTGAGATTCGGCACGGCTCTAGAAAGTGGGGTCTCCCTTTATGGCGGTACCATGACATGTGCAAAAATGATATTAATTCATTCAACATCAATGTAGACAGCTAGGAGGAGCGTGCAGAAGCCCATTCAATCTGGAGGGAACATCTGGCACTGGGTGGAGCTCAACACGAAGTGGCTTTGAGTAAGAGGATGGAAGCAGAGCAAGAAAGAAGAAAGCAGCGTGCTGTAATCTTGGACTCCAACCCAGACAACATCTGGAGCTGTGAAATTTGTACCAAGCTATGTCACTCTCGAATTGGGCTTGTCAGCCATAAGCAGATTCATCAGACACCTGATTAAACCTCTTACCAGTTTGGCAGGGAGGGTTGTCAATGATGTTCAGGAGACAATCTCTCGAATAAGAGGGGGCCCATGCTAAGGAAAAGTTTGAAACTCCTAGTGACAATAAAGTTTGCTGGATTCTAGCAGCTAGGGAGATGCTTACCTGGGCTCTGCTCTCAAATGCAACTTCCAGTCGGGCAGTGTTGCCTAATGGATAGGGCACTGGACTGGGCCTCAAAAGACCTGGGTTTGCTTCCTGGTTGGGTGATCTTGAGCAAGTCACTATCCAGCTCTCCTTTCCTCAGCTGTAAATTTATGCTGATCTCATTTGCAAAGTGCTTTGGGATCTATGGATGATATAAGCTAGGGCTGACTATTATTTCCTTTCACTTGTTCAAAGATGCAGTATAATTTCATCCCCACTTTCTTCTCATGGCACCCATAGCATTTCAAAGGCTCTTTGGAACCTGCAGCAGGGTCATGTGACCTTTTTAGCATACGTGAGACATGGGTCTGAGCAATAGTTACTTGCTAATATCAAAAGGTTCATCTACCATGTGTTCATGGGCTGTCTTACAGCACAGAGCTCATTCATCGAGGCAGCCTCAGTTTCTGGGGCTCTTTGGAGGAAATCAAACAGGTCCAAGAATCCAGAAAGCTAATCCATGTAAACAAAGTTGTTGTATTATGTATATTCAGCTGGGAGTGAGCTGCTGAAGTCCTTTTTACTCTCCTTGACAAGCCTAACCTTCTTCTACAATGTAATAGACAAGACTGAACACAAGGGTTAGTCGTCAGTTGTCAAGTCAATTGTCCTAGCTCCAATAAGGTGTTTATTTCAGGTGAGGATCTGCCTCCTAAGATGTCCGTGGACCTTAATACTCTACCTGGATGAAGGTCATCATGACATTTGGGACAGGCTTAGGTTCCAGTTTAGCAAAGATCTTAAGCACATGTATAACTTTAAGCACATGGGTGGTCCCGATGCCTTCAACTTTTGGCTGTCTGTTATAAGGAAGCATTAAGGGAATACACCTTAGTAGCATTCGAAGAGGAATTCAGTAGAGAACCCCAGCTATCATGCATCACCCCCGAAAGCAGTTACACCTGTGTGAACAAGCCAGGCTACCCTGGCATGTCTGTTGTGATTCTACAGGTGAGGGTGATGGAGCTAGTTAACAGACGGGTAAGACAAATCAATACAGATTAATCAGATAGAAGCTATATTGGGTCCAATTTATCTTAGCATATGGCCCCTAAGGGTAAAAATTCAAATGGGATCTTCGCTTTCCCCCATCCAGTGTCCAGAGGTGGCTCACTCTGAACTCTGGATTGGGAAGCGCTGCTTAATCTGGAAGTGCTCACACCTCTTGTGCTTCATTGTCAGGCCGTACACAGGCGTGATGTCCACCTTCTCTCCATCAGAGACGCTGAACTCCAGCTGCTGCAGCAGGGTGGTCAGGAAGAGGAAGACCTCCCATCTGGCAATGGTCTCGCCAATGCACTTCCTCTTCCCCAGGCCAAAGACCAGCACCTTCTCACCATCCGCCTTGTTTACTTCAGTCCCTCTGGCATGGAGGAAACGCTCTGGGTCGAACTTAGATGGTTCTTTCCAAAGCTTCCTAGAATAGCAAGAGCAAAGCTCCTGAAACTTCCATTCTACCGCTGCCTGGAGAGGGGATGCTGGAGAGCAGGGAATTCAGTTTGGATGGGTGTCAGGAACAGCTTCAGAACTGGGCCTAGGACCCACTGCTATCCATGCACCTTTATCACTCAAGAATGCCTTTTCCTTTTAAAATAGCCATCAGAAGGCACCGGGCCAAGTTAACCTCTGCTGTAAGGCCTTGATGTTACTGGTTGGCTTTTGCGCTGAAGCCTGAGGGGTTAGATCCCTTATAAACATGTTTTTACTCCTCTCTGAAGTTATGGTTAATGTTCTCATTATCCACTAATGTCTAATCCTTTTCTGAATCCTGCTAAGCCCTTGACCTCACTAGCATCTTGTAGCAATGCTTTCCACAGGTCAGTTGTGTATTCCACAGATTATAAGGCCAGAAGGAACTGTTGTGGTCATCTAGTCTGATGTCCTTTATAACAAAGACCCTAGAATTTCCCTGAATTTATTCCTGTTTGAACTACAGCAGATCTTACAGACAAACATCCCATCTTGATTTATAAATTGCCAGTGATGGAGAATCCACCACAACCCTTGGGAAACTGTTCAAATGATTAATTACCCTGACCGTTAAAATTTGCACCTGACTTCTAGTCTGAATGCATCTAGTTTCAGCTTCCAGCCATTGGATCTTGTTGTACTTCTGTCTGATAGATTGGAGAGCCCTCTATTATTAAATTTCTGCTCCCCAGGTAGGTACTTGCAGGCTGTGATCAAGTCCTCTGATCAGTTTTAAATTTGCTGCTTTCTGATGCTATTGAATATCCCCTTCCTCCTTTATTATGAGAGGGTAAATAGAAGCACTCTGTACCAATTATTATTTTGTACGCTCTACCATGTCCCCTTCCTATACAACTGCCCTCTCAACTAAATAGTTCCAGTTTTCTCAGTCTCTCTCCATACACAAATCTGTCTAGCCCTCTAACCTTTTCCATTAGCTGTTTCTGGACCTTTTCCATCCCTGCTCTGTCCTTTTGGAGATGGGGTGACCAGACCTGGACACAGTATTCCAGGGGAGAGGGTGTCATTGATGTACAGAAGAGCAGTAAAATCATCCCAATGTTTTCTACATGGGGAAACTGACTGGAATAATTGCCATTAGTCACTATGGGCCAATAGTTATTCCATTATGCCAGTCAATTTCCACATGTAGACAAACTTTCGGTGTTTTTCCTGACCCCATTCCTTATGCACCCTGACATTCTGGTTGCCTTTTTCACCTCCGCTGCACACTGAGCAGAGGTTTCCATTGAGCTGTCTGCAGTGACTCCCAGGTCTTAGTCCTGTCTCACAAGAGATTTCTTCCTGATCCTTTCATCAGCAAGGACTAGTGTGCAAATTAGGCGTACAGACCCAGCAGATCCAGGTAGAAGCTTAATGGGGACCAGGGCCATCTGCGTGAAATCTGTGGCCTCATCAGCCCACCCAGTGCTCCTTGGCAGCACAGGTCCAATGCTCTACACACTCACCCCTCCCCTGCCTGGCCATCTCTGTGTCTTCCCACAGCAGAAATTCCCAGTCCTGTGGAGAATGGGGAAAGCACAGAAATACAGCCAGAGCCATCTCATCTAGGTTTGGTTTTTTTGATACAATGGGGCAGGGAACATTCCTTCTCATGTGCTTGGAAAGTGGCTAGTACATCATGGATGACACCACACACAAACAGCATCATCCTGATCTGTTTGTCCAAGTGCCAACCAGTCATACTCAAGGTACATGGTAGTGACATGTTCTATGCGACTAAATGGGGGCTGGTACATTGATATGGACGGATTGCACACTACTACCCTAAGGGACTCTGCATATACTTACTCATCGTGATTGACTTGCCATTGGTTGACAAACACACAGAGGTCCTTCGGGATGTAGTAGCCATTCAGTACTGTGTCTTTCGTTGTGCTGAAGGATGAGAGTGAGATTCTTAAGTTTAAAAAGCTGCCTCTGTGTTCTCATATCAATCAATTCCTGGGCCCGGTTAAGTCAGGATTGGGCCCAGAGGAGATCATTTTCATAAGCGTTATTGTACTTCTAAGGGCTGGGTTTTGCCTGTCTCACACTGGGAGGACCATCAATGGAGTGACATGCTGAATAAAAGTACTACTCAATGCGTTATGCCCCTACATCTCCTCTGCATCCATAGCACTTACCAGTGAGGAATGGTGAAGGGCATGAAGGAGGAATGTCTGAACATCTCTAAGATAAAGGCTTCTGTGTAAGGCAGCATGGGCCGGTCTGAGAGTCTGGGTCTCCTCTCTCTGCCAATGGTCTGATCTACAGGTTATAAAGAGGAGGAAAAGGATGGTTGGAATCCAGCCTTCTAGAGAGATGCATTTTAACTCTGTGACTGAAAACATACAGTTACCTAATTCTTCCTGAATCTTTTTCTGAATGTCTGGATAAGTCACAAGATACATGAGGCTCCAGGACAAAGCTGTTGTCACAGTGTCAAAACCTAGACAGACAGAGAGGAAAGACAGATATTAACTAGATGAAGACAACTCAAGGGAAAAATACAAGCCCCGGACTTTAGATTGTCATCAGATTTTCCTTGCTTACTTCCTAAGTTTTTGTCCAACTCAGAAAGCTGTGATAAGAAAGTTCCTAGTTAAGAGTTTTTACACTTGCTCCACTCTGTGCATAGTGATGTTGATTCATCACTGTGCTATTTCAGTTTTATACTGGTGTAACTTCAATGAAATCAATGGGGTTTCCCCAGTGTAATTTAGTGATGTGTCAGGACCAGTACCAGTAAATAGGGATACAAAACTGTCTTTTGGGAGCTTCATTTTCCTTGAGCGCTGACTTCCTACAAACTCTTCCTCGAACAGTAGGAAGCCTCTTGGGGTCGTTGCTGGTAGGTGTCAGGGTGAAAAAACTAATGTGATCTGTTTTCTGCTACTGAGAGCATCTGGATGGAGTGTTCTTATGGGGGGGACAAAAAAGGTCTAATATTTATCAGAATGCAAAAATAGAAAGTGGTTTCAGATTTGAAAGTCTGAATTGGAATGTTCTTACCGGCTCCAAAGAGGTCATTGACCAGGTTGACAATTTTTTCCTTCGGGAGCTGAATGTTGACATTGGCTTCCACTTTATTCTCCTGACTTTGCTCAATCAAGGAGTCAGTGATGTCTCGAATGTTGTCCTGAAAGAGAAAAGTCCAGAGGAAGATGGCATGAAATTCCAGACCACTAGGCAGGTAAACTGAGAGGTAACAAAGAGCAATCTACTACGGAAGGGACGCTGTGCTGGAAAGTCCAGTATCCCCATGTCACAGAAGTGCAAGTCAATTCCAATCATGACAGGAATAGGAGGTCAGGAAAATATTTTCTTCCCCTACAGTCAGTAGGTAACATTTCACTGAGCTATAAAAATAAGGAGATGAGAATATACAACTTGAAAGTGCAGGATGTCAGAATGATCCTCTTCTTGGAAAATACAAGACAAACATGCTAAGCAAATTAATTCTCAATATGTGCCTAGGGAGAGAAACTTATTAGTATAGAAACTAGGGTAATTTGTGTCCTAAGATGGTCCTATAATAGATAAGATGAAGATTCATTTGTAAAATTCATAGAGGTAATAAAATGCCATTTTGGCTAGACAGGTTGGCTAAAAAGCAGCATAACCTTTCACCCTGCGCCTTTCCAGAGTTTTATTTAGGTGGATGCTGGAACGAACTGGCTAGTGTGTCAGTGCACCATTGCCCTCTATTGATGGACATCAGTACTGCTCAACAGTGTGTCATAGGTACTAGGCCTTGTGTTGCTAACAGCTAATAGATATTCTTCTTTAGCTCAGTTGGTAGGGACCTGTGTATTTGGACAAGGGTATACATTCTATCCCACTCTTTCTATGAAGTTTTGAATGGCCATCATAGAAACACTGGTGAGTGTTTAGATTTGCTACAGGACAGCCTGCTGCAAGAGGAAAAGTACTCGCAGAAGCTGAAGGGCACAGTATAGAAGCTCATCTCAGGTGTGAGCGAATTCCCCCCCCTAGGCTCTTACCTTCTCAAAGCTTTCGTAGTGCTCTTTGACAATGTCCTGCAGGAGCCTGAGGAACCTCTTGTTGAATTCTATAAATTTCTTCATGGTGCTGTTGGGGAAATACTGGAGCACTGGGATGAAATCCGCTATATTGCCAGAGGCAGCCACATCCCCAAATTGATCTGTCACATTCACTATGCTGAGCAGCTCTTGGTCATCATGGTCGTAACGCTTGCCAAAGCACATGGCACAGATGACATTGGCCACAGAGACCACCACGTACCGATAGGGGTCAAACCTCTTCTTCTCCTCCATCAGTTGCAGGAACTTTCTTACTAGGTAGTCAGCTTCTTTGGAGACATGCTCCTCGAGGAGGCAGGTGGACGAAGAGTTGGGGCTGGGCGAGACAGAAAAGGTCTTCAGGGCATTCTGGGCCAACTTCCTGCGAGCTCTCCACACCTCCCCTGAATCAGTGCTGAAGGTCATGCTCTGGCCATCTCCAATATTGCGAAAGCTGTAGAGATCAGGGCGCCCCATGAAGACCTCCCCTTGCTTCACCAGGGCTTGTTTGATGGTGTCCAACCCACTCAGCACCAGCACAGGTCTGGCGCCGATCTGTATCTGCATCACATCTCCATACTTCTGGCTCATCTGAGTCAAGGTCAGGTGTGGATTGCTCCCCAGCTCCAGCACATTGCCTATCAGTGGGTAACCCCTTGGTCCTGAGAGCCTCTTCAGCCCCTTGGGGATCTGCTGCCGGAAGGATCTGATGACCATGAACATCAGACAGAAGACAGTAGAGGCAATAAGGATCTCGGTGACTGAGATAATGCCCTGGCTTCCCACCAGTGACATTGCAGCCTTCATCTTCAAGGTCCTAAGAAGCCTGAGAAAATTAAACAAAGGGAGGGTGTTGGGTGTCTCACTTCCTCAGGCTGCTAAGGAAATACTAGCCTTATGCCTCAAGTGAGCCAGACTCCACACAGAGCCATGACACACTCAGGCCTCCTTGCATTAGAACTTTGGGGGATTCCTTCTTCATAAACCCTTCCCATAGGTTGGCCATTAGCAGGGATCCAGCCCTTTGACCCTAGAGCATCTTACCTGCTGGGACATTCCTTCTACACTAGTTCTAGTTCCAAAAGCACAGGAAAGGAGTCAGGAGATCTGGGTCCAAATCCTGGTTCTGCCACAAACTTCCTGGGGAACCTTGGGCAAGTCACTTCATCCCATTGTGCCTCTGCTTCCCATTGGCAAAATGGGAATAATCATATTTATAACCTAAGGGGTGTTGTGGAGATAAATTTATTAACAAAATGTTTGTGATGCTCTTGGGGATCTGCAGGTAGAAAGAGCTCAAGAACTGCAGAGACTTGAGGTGCCAATTAACATTTCACTTTCTTCTTTGTGGAGTTGATTGGTTTACTGCGGTCCTGCCATGGAGTGAAGAGAAATTGACAGGCAGTTTGAAATTCACAGGACCTGTCAGCATTATCTGAACCCTGGGAGAAGTGGGGGAGGAATCTACTGCTCCATCATTATCCTCTCTGGCCACTGATTGTTAGGAATCGGGACATAGACAATCTGGCCTAAGGGTCAGAGTCAGGAGCTGAGACAATGATCAGAGCGGAAATTAACAGGTAATGATCAGGAGCGGGACACAGGGGCAGGAAACAGAGATGAGGCAAGGAACAGGAGCAAGGCAGGAATTGGGAGCAGGGGCAGGAGCCAAGGACAAGACAGGAGTGGAGCAGGGTTGGATGCAGATTGCAGGAGAGAGGCAAGGAGCAGTGTCCAATGCAGATGCAACAAGGAGTCTGCATAGTTTCTTAGGCAATCCACTCAGCCATAGACGATTCATTCCTCCTGATACTGGGGGTGGGGGGGGGCACAATGTAAAGGGAGGTGTGACGTGAGGCCCTGGTGTCGCCTCCGGGAGGAACTTCCAGCCCCACCTCCCTGGGCCACGGTAGCCATTCCCACTTGCTTCTGGGGGGCTGGGGCCACAGGAGTGGGGAGCATGTGCCTCTGGGCCTGGCTGGGACCAGGGCCAGCCCCAGCCCAGAGAGACTCACAGCACCAGTGTCCCTGGAGCTCACAGACACCTCAGCAGGGGCGGGGCAGGTCACAGGCAATGCTCCTACCTCCAGCTGAGCAGAAGCCAGGGAACCTGCTCCCAGCACCTTCCCCAGCAACCCCTGTGCCCAGCATGGGGACCACCGTGCTCTCCTTACCCCACCAGAGTTACCTGCAGGGGGGCGAGAGGCTCTGTCCTTCCACTGCACCTCCCACTGGCAAGTTTAGGGCTCACTCAGCCACTCTCCCTGGCAACCGGGCCTGGGTGGAGAGTAGAAGGGATGGGCCGCTGCCAAGTCCCCAGCTGGGTTCTCGCAGGCAGCCACCGCACTGGACAGAGCAGTGACCCAGAGCCACCACCTTCAGACAGTGTGATAATTGACTCCATCCCACCCCTTCCACTCCCCGTCTGGGCCCAGCTGCCAGGAACAGGGGCCGAGCATGCCAGGGGACAGGCACAGCAGGAGAAGAACAGAGCCCCTCTCCCCCGGCAGGCCGAGCAGAAATCTGGGTGGGGGGAGGAGGGGACACAATTTGACCTCACATGCCCCACCACCACCCACATGTGTCGCTTATACTGCCTGGCTTAAGTAGTGGATGTGAGCCAATCAGGTGATCCAGGGTCTGTCCTGGGAGTCCCTCTAGGACTTCCTGTGGGGCCTGACTTTGCAGGAGCAGTAAGGGGCTCCTTTGTCTGTCTGTCTCCTGTGGTGGTAATGCAGCAGTGTCTGTAAGCCAGGGCCTCCCCGGGCCTAGGTCCTAGACTCTCTACAGCAGAACACTCAGATCCTTCCATTGATTGCCCTTAAAGAGTTGGGGCCAGATCCTCAACTAGGATAAATCAGTTCAGCTTAATTGATTTAATGGAGCTAGCCCAGGATCTGCCCCTAACATTTACCCCCAGTGCTACAGGAGATACAACAGTTATTCCTTAGAGCCAGGGTGCAACTGGTGGCTTTGACATAGCGCTGCACTCCTGAAACTGGTGATCCTGGCCTGGAGTCTCACTAACTGGTCTCTTTATCCCTCTCCCAGCTGGGAGGGGGACACCTGACAGGGGGCTGCTTGCTGAGTGAAAACCCAGAGCTCAGTCAGGGGCCCTTGGGTTTTATGCTGCCCCCTGTTACTGTAGTATCTGAACGCCATAAAGTCACTAGCAGTAGCAAAGTCTCCAGTGGATTTGATGGCGTCTCTGGCACTTCTCTCTTTACAGAGTAAAAACTCTGCTTGGGGTAAGTTGTGGTGTCTATTTTTGGCAGGAGTTTGGCGGCAGAAGGGGATTTCAGAATGCAGGTCACTCCGAGGGCGGAAAGGCATTTTCAGAGAGGAAGGTTTTGCAACATTTCCTATAGGTAAGGGCAGGCTAAGATTTGGTCAGGGATGTTTTTAATAAAAGTCCTGGATCGGTCACTGCAATGAACAAAACACGGGAAAGCCCTGCCCTGTCCCTGACTTTACTAGAAACATCCCTGACAAAATGGGGAAGGTCTATCATCCCCCCCACCCCCACCCCCCGCTGTGGCTGAGAGCTGCAGGGGCCCCATTGCCCAGTGGCTGGGAGTCCCCTGCTGATCTGCGGGGCTGGGCGCTGCGGGGAGCCCCCTGCCAGCGCTGAGCACTCCAGGGTCCCTCTGCCGCCGCAGTCGTGACTTCCAGCGACTTCCGAGCCTGCGCGGGCGGCAGGGGACCCTCCCGCCGCTGTCCAGCAGTGGCGGGTGGCGGGACCCCTGCAACTGACCGGCCACCGCCATCCGGGGCGACCCCTAAGCTGCCTAGCCACCATCGCTGGTAGCCCCCACCCCCCAGCTCCCAGCCTGCGGTGGCAGAGGGATCCCGGAACTGCTTAGCGGGGGGGGAGGGAGCTCCCCCGCTGCAGCTAGCAGCCCCCGCAGCTCCCAGCCTCCCCCGCCGGAGGCAGAGGGACCCCGGAGCTGCTCAGAGCTGGCAGGGGGCTCCCCGCAGTTCCCAGCCATTGCAGGGGGGGCTGGGAGCTGGACCCTCTTCCCTCCCCATTCTGTCAGGGATGTTCTTAGTAAAGTCAGGGACAGGGCAGGGCTTCCCTGAATTTTTGTTTATTGCAGTGACCTGTCCATGACTTTTACTAAAAACATCCCTGACAAAATCCTAGCCTTCCCTATAGGTGATCAGACTCCGATTTGCCTGCTCTTCCCTGGAAGTTTTGTTCCATAGCCAGATCCCCCTCAACCAAATGAAGCTACCTCTGAACTCAAGGGACTGCAGGTGCCGGGATCCTGGTGAAATCCACTGAGGAGCCCTTGACAGAGAAGAGGAAACTGTACCTTGGTCTTACCTGGGAAGGAGGATCCAATAAAGAGGGAGAATTGGAACCAAATCCACCTACTGCCTGCCCTGATCTCCTGATATGGCCCACAAGAGACACAGCTGAGATGAAGTATTTGCACTGACACTCATTGATATACACACTCTCTCTAGCTGGGAAAACACACCTCCCTTGATAACTAACAGTCCTCAAAGACACGGTTTTCAAACTTTTTTTCTGGCGACGTAGCTGAAGAAAATTGTTAATGTCCAGGATCCAACAGAGCTGGGGATGAGGGTTTGGGGTGTGGGAGGGGCTCAGGGCTGGGGCAGAGGGTTGGGGTGAGGGCTGCGGGGTGGGGCTGGGAATGAGTGGTTCAGAGTGTGGAAGGGAGCTGGGGTGTGCGAGGGGGTCAGGGCTCAGGGCTGGGGGTGCAGGCTCTGGGGTGGGGCCAGGGATGAGGGTTTGGGGTGCAGGAAGGGGCCTCCGGGGCACAGTGCGGAACAGGTAGAGAATAGCCTGCCTTAGCCGGGCAGCACTGCCGATGGGACTTTTAATGGCCCAGTCGGCGGTGCTGACCAGAGCCGCTGCGACCCAGTGTCTTCCATTCCACGACCCAGTACTGAGTCGCAACCCGAAGTTTGAAAACCACTGCTCTAGGAAACCGAGAGCGCTTCGGATACCATCACCCTACTGAAACTGTAACTCTACCCCACCCCTTTTGCAGAGCCAATAGAACCAATATTGAAGGTGGCCACTATACTGTTGAGTTCAAAGGGATCTTAATCCAAGTGTTTTCTGTGCCCAAATTGGGCGTGTATTTCACTATCAGAATTAATGCTAATGATTTATTATTTGCATTGCTGGAGCACCCAACAGCTGTCGTCAGGATCACGTTCCTATTGCTCTAGTACAGAAAGACACAGCCCCTGCCTTAAAGAGTTCACTAGTTTGAAACAAGATGTGAAAGTAACCAGATGAGGGAATTGGGGAGGAAGCATTAGTGGAGCAATGAGAAGATCACACCATTACATAGACCAGATAGTTCTTACCTGAGTTATAAACAAGGTGCGTTGGTTGAAAAATGGAGGAGGGAGGGAAATTGCAAATCAAATTAAACAAATAAATCCAAGAAAATGTTCTCCGCTTTTGGTCAACATTTTGAAGCCGTTGAAATTTTTCAGCAAGCTGATTTGTTTGAGCTCTATAATCTCAGGGCTCCATGAATGTCAATGACCCCAAGCCATCTAAAATTGGCTAGTTTCTTGAAGGTGGCCCGGGCTGAGAGGGTGAAGGAGGAAAGGATTGTGACTCAGTTCAGGGAGGGTGTTTTGTGCCTGGAAGGAATTGCAATGATATTTGTGGGAAGAGTGGAGAAACGCCTGGGTGACCGATGAGCCAATCCCATGAAAAGTGATGTTTTGTTGCGCAGAGTAGTGCATTGAACTGTATTGACTGATCTAGGATTGATTTCCTGCTGTCTAACACAGGACTAAAAGTAAAACCTATTTTACCTCGCTTACAGAAAGATCCTGTCGACTCTATTATCAAATGATCTCCTTCCCATTGGTTTTGGATCATCCTCTAGAATTTAATCCAAAATGAGATCTCTACTAGAGAATTGTATGGGGGGCAGTCCCAAAAACCTATAGAAAAGCTCTCTCTATTAAATTCTGTTGGTTTTTACAAGGATTTTTATTGAACTCTCTTAGATTGCTATAGAATCCTATTAGTTTTTTCCCTGTTCTATAGGGATTTGCATAAAGACAGGTCTGCTGAGTTCTGAGTAAATTTTCTGTCTTGAAAGAGCCCCAGTTATTTAGGCTATTGCATAATTACAGCCTTCACATACATTCTTTGAGCTGAACGGTTAGTGTTATTTGGACTCTTGTTATCAGAATACTGGCTAAGCTTTTCCAAAGTGACTAGTGGTTTTGGTGGACTCTGGTTTTGGGTGCCCTGGAGGGCTGGTTTTCAGAGCGTGGGTGCTCAGCACTTTCTGAACATCAGACCCCCTTTTAAGAAGTCTCAAATTGGGCTCCTGTAAAATGGAAGACCCCAAAATTGCTTTGGAATACCTGGGCCAGCGATGCACACATACAACACATCTGAGAGAGACCCACCCTGGACAGCCACTTCCCACCGTCCCCCACAAGCATTTAAACTAACCCTTGTTTTTTAATATATTGCAAAGATAAGGAGCTGTGTGAAGCAGCCTACAGTACCTGTGTGTCCCAAAGGAGGGATGGTGCTTAGGTTGGAATTCCCACCTGTGGCTAGAAGTTCTTTGGTGATGGCATGAGGAGTCTCTCCCCAATGTGTCTGGAACTCGCTCTTCTGGACAGTGAACTACGTTCTCCTTCCCAGGCAGCTTGATGGATCACTTTCAGACAGCTTTTTATGCACCTCCCCTGAAACCTGGTTGGTCAACCCTCCTCCTGTTGCACTGCAAAAGTATCCTCCAAGCCACTTGTCTTGGAACTCCAGAATGATTAGCTACAAAATAATTAATAGAGTCTCCTCCTTGTGCTGGACCTGATCCAGAGCCCACCAGAGAAGTCAGCTGGGCATCTTTCCATTGACTTCAGTGAGCTGTGGGGCAGACCCTTAGTCTGCATGGGCAGGGGCCATGGCCAGCCTCCAGCTGACCAATGCATATTTCACCCTCAGCAGCAAAGGCTGGATGGCAGAGACTAGGGTGCACGTGGCACTGTGGTCGAGAGGACCAGAACATGCTCCTTTGCCCTGGCAGGATGTCCCCTGTCTCAGGCATATGGCCACCTGCCCATTGCCCAGCCAGGCAGTTCTTTTCAGTAAAGAACTTCATTAAAAGACCATATTCTCTGGATATGGTTTTTTGAACTGATTCATGAAGAGTTTGCTCTCTCCCAACACAACTCTAGTGGCTGTGGTGCTGGAGGGCAGAGTGAGCATGGTGGGGGCGGCAGCGAGGGGGGGTGGTGAGGTCAGGATGGCAGAGACAGAGGACAGGACGGTGCAGAGGGGTTTGTGGTCTGCAATCAGGACTGGAGAGTGTAGCGTATCAGGAGCCCATTCAGAGGCAGCCCTCCCCTGCCCCCGGCTCAGTATCAGGTTAAAGATTGCCCAGGTTCGCGTGAGAAGCCATTTGGCTGAATTTCACCACTGTTTCCCCTGCAGCCAAACAGGGTGAGTTTGGGAACAGAGGGGGGAGAGTTCAAGGGTGACTGGGAGGTGGGGGAGAGAGCAGAGGCATTCGTTCCTCTGCAAGCACCTTTGACATATGGCAGGATGTGATATTGCGTGAGAAGGCAGCAGGGGCAGATAAGCAAGAACTGCACTTTGGGAAAGTCCAGGGCAATGTGCAACCAGCAGAAAGACCCTGACTCGTCCATGCCTCTCACACATGGAGTGAAAACCCACTGCAGACACAGAAGCAGAAGACGCCTACCTGACACATTCCTTATAGGAGAAGAAATTCCCCCAGAGCACAGGGGAGGTGACTTTGCAGCCTCCAGCTCCATAGAGGGGCAGGTTTTCAGCCCCAGTCTCTGGGCTGACTCGCCCACTTTGTCTGATATGGCTACACGGATACAGCCCCCATGTAAATGGGTAGATGTAATGTGGGGACAGAGAGGGGAGATTTCCCTTGCCTGTTAGATATAAGATACTTGTAAACCCTGTGGATAGGTCTCCAAAAACTAGCTTCCACTCCTGGGCTTCTAAAAATTGATTGGGCCATGTGCTGTTTTGGGACCTGGAATCAGCTGGGGAAAGGCCAGCAGAGGGGAGAACGAATATTGATTTTATTTGATGGAGAACTTAGAGGAAACACAGATGTGAGAACTGCAGCCTGTGAGTCAAATTTCTCGGGAGCAGCCTCTGGCTTTGAACATCTCCATATTTTGGGTGCTCAGCTTGAGCCATCTTGTGATTGATTTGTTCAGAGGTAGAGTGTAAGGCAGTGGTCCCCAAACTGTAGGAGGAACATTAATGGAGGCACGGTGGTGCCCAGACCAGCCCCCACAGGGGGTGGGGAGGGAATGCCCCCCAGCCCTGCTCTGCCCCCAGCTCTGCTCCTGGCCCCGACCATGGCCCCGCTCCTGTCCGTGGCTCCTGGCTTCTGCTTCCCAGACGCGGCTCCCAGTTCCCAGCTCCTGGTTCCTGGCCATGGCCCCGCTCCCAGTCCCTGTCTCCTGACCATGCTCTAGCCCTGGCCCCAACTCCTTACCGTGGCTTTGGCCCCACATCCAGCCCTGGCTCCCGACCGCAGTTCCAAGGGACGAGGTAAGGGGGGTGCATGAGTAAAAATGTTTGGGGACCACTGGTGTAAGTGGTTTGGGGCAGGGACTGTCTGAGTTTGTACAGCGCCTAGCACGGGGGTGGAGGGGTCAAAGTCTAGATTGGGACTCCTAGGTGCTACCGCAATACAATGCTGATCCCTGGCAGCTCAAATGACTCCAATTCAGCTCTTTTGGGGGGAAATCTGACCCAAGATGTCTTACAAAATCAGATGGTTGTTTAAGGTTTCTGCTTGGTTATATCTCACTGAGTGAGCTTTTCCAAGTGGTACAGATCAGGCCCCACTCAAGTGCCCCCCATAGCAGACATATGTCCCTCAGGCACCCTGCCACAGTCCTTTCCCCCCCACACACACTCCCAAGGGTCCTGCCAAACACTCCTCCCATACTCTCTCAGGCTGAGAATCTCACAGGTGAAAGTCCCCCATTGCAACTGAGAACACTGCTGGCTCTGCCACCGTCCGTCACTTTAGACTCTTCTCCAGACCCCAATGTTCTTTCAAATGAAGGGCTCCTGTGTGTACCCCTATATCCCCTTCAAGAACTCAAAGGCAGCAGTAATGCAAACCACATCCACCCACCATGAGCCTAATTCAAGTCTCATATCCCTCCTGGGTTCATCTCCCGACTCCTGGGACAATGGCCAGATGGCCGCTCTCCTGGGCCTTCACCCAGGCACTCCTAGAGATTGGCAGGAAATGCCCTCACTACCACTGTGCAGCCCCTTAGCTGCCTTCAGCCTCTGTTCTCTCCCAGTTGTCTGCTCCTTATACAGGATAGCGGCACCCCCTGCCCTTTCTCTGGCCTGAGTCTCCAACACCCAGGCCTCCCTGTTCCTGGCCTGACTCTCCTTCTCCCTGGCTTCCAAGCCTCCTTATATATCTCCTGACCACAGGCGCTGCCCAGCCCCCTAGTCAGGTCTAGCCAGGGCACCCCTGTGCAGTCAGGAACCCAAGTCGATGTTCTGATGTTTGCGCTTACCCCCAGGGAGGAAAGGAGTCTGAGTAACATGGAGATCGAGGCTCCAACAGATGATCTTCTACAGAGATCACAGGACTATAGTCAAGTATCAGAGGGGTAGCCGTGTTAGTCTGGATCTGTAAAAAGCAACAGAGAGTCCTGTGGCACCTTTAAGACTAACAGATGTATTGGAGCATAAGCTTTCGTGGGTGAACACCTACTTCATCAGACACATGTAATAGAAATTTCCAGAGGCAGGTATAAATATGCAGGCAAGAATCAGACTGGAGATAATGAGGTTAGTTCAATCAGGGAGAGTGAGGTCCTCTGCTAGCAGTTGAGGTGTAAACACCAAGGGAGGAGAAACTGCTTTTGTAGTTGGCTAGCCATTCACAGTCTTTGTTTAATCCTGATCTGATGGTGTCAAATTTGCAGATGAACTGAAGCTTAGCAGTTTCTCTCTGGAGTCTGGTCCTGAAGTTTTTTTGCTGTAAGATGGCTTTACCTTTACATCTGCTATTGTGTGGCCAGGGAGGTTGAAGTGTTCTCCTACAGGTTTTTGTATATTGCCATTCCTGATATCTGACTTGTGTCCATTTATCCTTTTATGTAGTGACTGTCCAGTTTGGCCAATGTACATAGCAGAGGGGCATTGCTGGCACATGATGGCATATATAACATTGGTGGACGTGCAGGTGAATGAGCCGGTGATGTTGTAGCTGATCTGGTTAGGTCCTGTGATGGTGTCGCTGGTGTAGATATGTGGGCAGAGTGGGCATTGAGGTTTGTTGCTTGGATTGGTTTCTGAGTTAGAGTTGTTATGGTGCGGTGTGTGGTTGCTGGTGAGAATATGCTTAAGGTTGGCGGGTTATCTGTGGGTGAGGACTGGCCTGCCTCCCAAGGTCTGTAAAAGCGAGGGATCATTGTCCAGGATGGGTTGTAGATCTCCGATAATGCGTTGGAGAGGTTTAAGGTGAGGACTGTAGGTGATGGCCAGTGGAGTTCTGTTGGTTTCTTTCTTGGGCTTGTCTTGTAGCAGGAGGCTTCTGGGTACACATCTGGCTCTGTTGATTTGTTTCCTTATTTCCTTGTGCGGATATTGTAATTTTGAGCATGCTTGGTGAAGATCTTGTAGGTGTTGGTCTCTGTCTGAAGGGTTGGAGCAGATGCGGTTGTACCTCAGCGCTTGGCTTTAGACAATGGATCATGTGGTGTGTCCGGAGTGGAAGCTGGAGGCATGAAGGTAGGCATAGTGGTCGGTGGGTTTTTAGTATAGGATGGTGTTAACATGACCATCACTTATTTGTACTGTGGTGTCTAGGAAGTGGACCTCCCATGTAGATTGGTCCAGGCTGAGGTTGATGGTGGGGTGGAAGCTGTTGAAATCGTGGTGGAATTCTTCCAGAGTCTCCTTCCCATGGGTCCAGATAATGAAGATGTCATCAATGTAGCATAGGTAGAGAAGGGGCGTGAGTGGACGAGAGCTGAGGAAGCGTTGTTCCAGGTCAGCCATAAAAATGTTGGTATATTGTGGAGCCATGTGGGTGCCCATGGCGGTGCCACTGGTCTGGAGGTATATATTGTCACCAAATTTGAAATAATTGTGCGTGAAGATAAAGTCACAGAGCTCAGCAACAAGTTGTGCTGTGTCATCATCAGGGATACTGTTCCTGACAGCTTGTATTCCATCTGTTTGTGGGATGTTTGTGTAGAGAGCCTCCACATCCATGGTGGCTAGGATGGTGTTTTCTGGGAGATCACCAATGTATTGTAGTTTTCTCAGGAAATCAGTGGTGTCACGGAGATAGCTGGGAGTGCTGGTGGCATAGGGTCTGAGCAGAGAGTCTACATATCCGGATAGTCCTTCAGTGAGTGTGCCAATTCCAGAGATGATGGGGCGTCCAGGATTTCCAGGTTTGTGGATCTTGGGTAGTAGATAGAATAACCCCGGTCGGGGCTCTAAGGGTATGTTGATTTGTTCCTATGTTAGTGTAGGGAGTGTCCTGAGTAGATGGTGCAGTGGGATCTGAGGAAAGTGGCCTGTACAATTTGATATTGGAGAGTTGTCTGGCAGCCTCCTTCTGGTAGTCAGATCTGTTCATGATGACAACAGCATCTCCTTTATCAGCCTCTTTGATTATAATGTCAGGGTTGTTTCTGAGGCTGTGGATGGCATTGCGTTCTGCATGACTTAGGTTATGAGGCAAGCGATGTTGTTTTTCCACAATTTCTGCCTGTGCACGTCGGCGGAAGCATTCTCTGTATAGGTCCAGACTGTCATTTCGACCCTCAGGAGGAGTCCATGTGGAGTTCTTCTTCCTGTGTTGTTGGAGGGAGGGTATCTGTGTATCAGTGCACTGTTCAGTGTTATCTTGAAAGTATTCTTTGAGTAGGAGGCAGCGAAAGTAGGCTTCCAGATCACCGCAGAACTGTATCATGTTCGTGGGGGTGCTGGGACAAAAAGAGAGTCCCCAAGATAGGACAGATTCTTCTGCTGGGTTGAGTGTGTAGCTGGATAAATTGACGATATTGCTGGGTGAGTTAGGGGTACCACTGTTGTGGCCCCATGTGGCAGGTAGGATTTTAGACAGCTTACGGTCCTTTTTCCTTTGTAGAGAGGTGAAGTGTGTAATGTAGATCTCCTGTCTTATTTTAGTAAAGTCCATTTGTGTGGCGGGTTGGTTGTTTATGAAAGTCTCCAGGTTGGAGAGCTCTTTTTGGATGTGAAGGAAACAGAGCCCAAGGGCGAAGAATGATTTGGTGCCCATAGGGGCTTAA